GCTTTCTCTTTGTCTCTGACCCGTATATGACCAAACAGTGTCCTCCTCCAGGGCCTACTTGGTGTTCCTCCTAATATGTCCAGAACATGTGAGGCGAAATCTCACCACCCTTGCCTCTAAGGAGCGTCCTGGTTGTACTTCTTCAAACACAGATTTTTTTGTTCTTCTGACAGTCCATGTTATATTTAGTATTCTTTATCAACAACATAATTCAAAGCCTCAATTCTTCTGTGACCCTTTTTATTCATCATCCAGGTTTCCCATGCGCGTGAGGACATTAAAAATACCATGGCTTGGGTCAGGTGTGCTTTAGTCCTTTGACTTCTTTTTTTTTTATGCTTAATAGAGGTCTTTTGTACAAATTTGCTCACTGTACAGTGTCGTCTAACTCCTGACTGCTGCTGCCATGAACACTGATATAGGTCCAAGGAAAATTAAATATTCGGCAGCTTCAGTCTCTCTTCATTTCTGAGGTTGCTTATTGATCCAGTTCTGAAAGACTTTTGTTTACTTTATGGTGACATGTAATCCATATTGAAAGCTGCCATCTTTCATCATTATTAATAAGTGTGAAAAGTCCCCTTCCCTTCTGGCAATAGTGCAGATGGGTCATGAGTCTTCCTCCAATTCTTCCAGAATCTCAGATTATTTGTTCAGCATACAGATTGATTAAATATGGTGAAAGGACACAACGGTGATACACACCTTTCCTGTTTAAACCAAACGTCATCTCCATGTTCTTTTCACATGACTACCTCCGTGCCTATAGACAGGCTCTGCATAAACTTCAGTTAAATGTCTGGAATTCCTGTTCTTTATCATGTTACTCATAATTTGTTATGATCCACACAGTCAAATGCCTTTGCATAGCCAATAAAACACGGGTAACCATCTCTCAGGTATTCTCTATCTGATGATATCAGCAGTGACACCCCTGATGCCAGGTCTTCTTCTGAATCCAGCTTGAAATGATGGCAGCAGCTTGTTGGCTATACTGATACAACAGTTAGTAAAAATTTTACTAGTTTGTCATATGAATG